CGGTGTGCCGGGTCCTGGGAAGACTCACCTCGCGCTGCGCGTCATCCCGATGGGCTGGATCAACGCGGTCACGGTGTTTCAGCACTGCCACAGGCGCCTCGGGTTCGGCTCTCGCCCCCTCGCTGCGGGGTTTCCCGCAGAGCTCGAGTGGCGCAAGGACCGGCCGCTTCCGTTCAAGTCGAAGGAGCTCGAGCAGCAGTGGATCCAGTACTACATCGACGACTGGGACCATGGCGAGGTGGTGCCCAACGCGATGGTCGCGGAGCTCCTCGGCACGATGAGCTGCGCGCAGGAGGAGCAGAGGGCCGCCTACGGCCGCTCGGGGATCAGCGTCGCCCCCGGCAAGGCCAAGCACCGCGCGCTGGTCCTGGAGCGGATGGGCGCGGGTCTTGACGGGGCCGTCGGCCGGGTCGGAGTCACGACCGAGAAGCTGCACCAGCTGCTGGCGTTCATCCTGTGGGGCATGGGCAGGCAGGGCCTCTCGTCACAGGGCATGCTCATGATCCTAGGCAGGTGCGCCAGGGCAGCGGAGTTCAGGAGGCCTTTCATGGGATTCCTCAACAGCGTGTGGGCTGCTGGACGCTGGACGCGTCCGCAGACTGTTCCCCTTGGCATGTGCGACGAGCTCTTGGGCTTCGCGATGGCGCTGCCGCTGGCCTACACTGACCTGCGCGCGAAGATCGACACTTGTGTCATAGCGACCGATGCCAGCGAGCGCGCCGGGGGCATCTGCCACACGGCCGGGCTCTCGGCGCAGGGCGTTGCGTGCGCGAGAGGGGGAGCTTCGGCGGTGACGTTGCGGCCTGGTGCAGTTGCAACCCCTGTGCGGGGTGTGCGGTGGCGCCCTCGCATAGTTCTCATCGAGCTCTTCGCTGGGGCCGCGGGGGCCGCGGTGGCGGCCTCCAGACTCCCGATCGACGTGATGGCCCATGTCAGCTGCGAGGTCGAGCCCGCCGCCCGGCGACTGGTGCGTCGCCGCTGGGCGGGCGTGATCGAGCTTGGCAACATCGAGGCCGTCGACACGGCGCGGTTTACTGAGATGCTGAAGGGCTACGCGCGGGACGCCGACTGGGTCGCCCTGACCGCGGGGAGCCCGTGCCAAGACCTGGCGAGCATCAATGTCGTGGGGACCGGCCTGGAGGGGTCGAGGTCGAGGCTCTTCTTCCGGGTCCCCGAGCTGATCCAGGCAGCAGAGGCTGCCTTTCCCAAGCGCACCATGTGGTTCGTCGAGAACGTGTTCAGCATGACCTTAGAGTCGAGGGCGGAGTTCACCAGGGCGCTTGGCGTCACACCCGTGTTCCTCGATGCCAGGTGTCTCACTCACGTCAGGCGGCCCCGCCTGTACTGGTGCTCGTGGCCCGTTACGGCGTTCTTGGCGTCCGACGCCACCGTCGAGACCAAGGGTGTGGGTGAAGCCACGTACTTCAAGGTCTCGCTTGCGGTGGAGAGGCTCCCACTGAGTGCCTCGCTCCTGGAGGGCTGGTCGACGCTGGACCCTGAGGCAGACCTCCCTTGTTTCACGAGGCCGATCCCGCGGAGTCACCCGCCGTTTCGGCCCGTGGGCCTCGACCGCGCCTCGGTGAGGGCTGCAGAGCGCTGGGCTGCCGACAGCTACCGTTACCAGGTCAACAACTACGAGGACGGCAGCCTCATCTGGGATGCAAGGCGTGAGCGGGGCCGGCTGCCCGTGCCTGAGGAGCGCGCTGCCCTGATGGGGTTCGACCGTCTCTATTTCCAGGCCGCTGTAAAAGATAGTGCACCTGCCGCCGAGCGTGACAGCGTCATTGAGTCTCTGATCGGGAATACGTTCTGCGTCCAGGCTGTCATGTATCTTCTCGGCTCGTGGCTCGCTCAGGTGGGGGCGCTAGCGGCCGCCATCCCGGGCAGCAGCTGCCTCGCTGTGGGCGCGTGCGAGGCGAACTGGAACGTGGTTCCCGACTTCCAGCAGCCGGGACATCGCGACCCGCGGTTGGAGAGCAGCCTGATCGTGGAGTTCCTGAGGGTCGCGGACCGCGGAGGCACGGACGTCCGGCTTGACACCGGGGCACCCTACCGAGCCCGCGCGTGGCCGCGGGCAGCTCTCCGTGCGCACCTCTGGGCCTGGCGGATCGCCAAAGGGTTTCGCTGGCAGCGGCCCGGGCACATCTCGGCGCTGGAGCTGGAGGCTGCAGTGGCTGGAGCGCGCTGGAGGTGCCGAGCGGTTGAGAACCACCGCTGCCGCTACCTGCACATACTGGATGCCCAAGCGATCGCGGCAGTCAGCACCAAGGGCAGATCGAGCGCGAGGGCTTTGCAGCCCGCGCTCCGCCGTCTCAACGCCCTCCTCCTCGCGACGGCAGGGTACCCGCTGCGCGGCTACTGCGACACCGACGACATGCCCGCCGACACGCCGTCCCGCTGGAGCTTCGGCCGCCGCTGCCTCGCTCCCAGTGCGGCCGCCGGCAAGGGCCAGGAGGGCCGCCCCCAGCAAGCGTGCAGCACAAGCAGCGGCAAAGGTGAGCCGGGTCACAGCTCAGGCGATGGCGCGACGAGCTGCAGCGAGATCCCAACCGCTGAGGGAGGCGATGGTCACGCCACTCACCCTGCAGCGGTACCGTGCGGCAGTCGATGAAGTCGTTGATTTCTGGATCCAGGAGCACCGGCAGCCGCAGACGCCCGCTCAGGTCGACGCTGGCGTGGCCGCCTTCATTGAGAGCCGCTGGCTGAGCGGAGGATCTTTGTTCGAAGTTAATAATGCTATTGCTGGCATCACGCACGCTTTCCCGCCCGTGCGAGGGCACCTGCGGGACAGCTGGCGCTTGGCCAAGACGTGGCAACGACTGGAGCCAGCTGGGCGGGCGCTGCCGATTGGTCCGCTGATCGCGGCAGCATTCGCTGGTGCATTTGCAGCCGTAGGCCAGCTCGGTGCTGCGGCAGTGCTGGCTGCGGGCTACGATGCTTTCCTCCGGACAGGTGAGATGACCTCGCTCGTGTGGTCCGATGTACAGCTGTACCCACTCCGACGAATGGCCGTGCTGCAGCTGCGCAACGCCAAGAGCCAGCATCAGACTGGTGCCCGAGATATCGTGCTCGTGCGGAGTGGTGTAGCGGTCGCCCTCCTTGCTAGAGCAAAGGCTCAGGCGCACGGACAGGACTTGTGCCTCGGAATGGAGCCAAACAGTTTCATGAACACTTTCAGCCGAGTGCGTGAGCTGCTGGAACTGCAGGATGCTAAGCTCACCCTCTACAGCTGGCGGAGGGGCGGCGCCTCCGCCGACTTCCGCAGCCATGGCTCCATGGAGCAGACGCTGCTCCGAGGCAGATGGGCCTCGGCGCGCACGGCCCGCTTGTATGTCCAGGATGCCGTCGCCGAGGCCACTCAATTAAATCTCTCGCCCGCGCAGCGGAAGCGCTGCGGCCTGCTCGCGTCCCGCCTGCGAGCAGAAGCGAGATGAACTTTTCTTGCTTTGTACTGCCTGTCTGTCTGTCCCGCCCATCCTCCACCTTTCTTCCCTCATTTCATTACAACGAGGTGGAGGGCATAAGTAAGAGCAAGAGGGAGCGGCTTTTGCCAGAGTAGGGACCGTGGAGAGAGCTAGGGGGTTCAGGGGTTGGTGACGTTTAACCTCCCGGCGGTGCAAGTGTGTCAGCGCGTCTGGGACGCAGCGCGGGTGCTTAAGCGCCACGGCTGTGCCAGGCGGGTTGGGAGGCCCTTGGATGCCGCTGAAGGGACGGGACCTCTCCCAACTCCTGGAATGACCCCTGAGTAGCCCCCAGAGGTCCTGGCCTGACAAGCTCCCTGGCGGAGTGCACAAAAACAGGTGAGAGAAGCATATATGAACCTTCCAAGGAAACCTATGCGGAGTCCACCTGAGCGTGCGCGACGCCGTTGATGGATAACGGTTGAGTTTCATCCATCTGCCGTAGCTGTGTTGGCCCACCCACAGACAGGGGGCAGCATTGCTACCGTCTCGCGCGTGGCCGTGCCTGCCTCCGCGCGAGTATTTGCCAGGACGAGAGAGCTAGGGGGTTCAGGGGTTGGTGACGTTTAACCTCCCGGCGGTGCAAGTGCGTCAGCGCGTCTGGGACGCAGCGCGGGTGCTTAAGCGCCACGGCTGTGCCAGGCGGGTTGGGAGGCCCTTGGATGCCGCTGAAGGGACGGGACCTCTCCCAACTCCTGGAATGACCCCTGAGTAGCCCCCAGAGGTCCTGGCCTGACAAGCTCCCTGGCGGAGTGCACAAAAACAGGTGAGAGAAGCATATATATATAATGTAGATATACGTAAAAGTATAGATACATAGGTATTTCTGTATACGCTTCCCCCCCGATTGCCTTCTCACCGAGGAGCTTTCGCGGACTGCCTGACCTGACCTAAGCTGACCTGACCAGCCCCCCGTCTTCTCGTTCATGCAGCACGTACTCACGTGCCCCCCCCCCCGCGGATTCAAGGTGGACGCCCCCTCCCCGTCGAAGAAGAAACAGCTGCGTACATGTGAACTTTTGGAGGCCCGCGCGAAATTATTGGAGCGGCGCGGGGCCCCCCTGGCGGCGCCCCTGGCGCCGCCCTTTGCCGCTCCGCGCGCCGGGGAAGGCGTCCAGCGCCGACCAAGACATCTGCGCGGAGATCCGAACGTTGATGTCTGTGTAGTGTTTTTCTTCCTCTACTCTGTGGCCGCTATCGAAACCTGCCCCTGCGGGTGCAATCCCAGAGCCCCTCGCGTCGTAAGACAATCGCGGCAGGAGCTTGTTTGCCATGTCGGTCTCCTGGGGCGTTCGCCCAGGGTAGTCAGAAACGACTCGGGATGAAAAACAGGCCCTGGTGAAAGGGTCGGGACTCCAGGGGCCCCGTATCTGAAAATCAGGAAATCAGTGTCTGGGACTCCTGCGGGCCCAATCTGCCGGGGGTAACAGACAACCCGTCTCGGGCTCACTTGGTTGCACACATCCTTGAAATCCTGCACCCCAGCTGGTTTTTCAGAAGTCTCGCCTGCATGGGCAGGGCCCGCGTGTGGCTGCCCAGGTGCTGGAGCTGGGCAGCGGGCGCGAGCTCTTCTAGAAGAGCACGAAAGAACAGCACAGGGCACCGACTTTCTGATGGCTGCGCGGGCTTCTCGGGGCGGCGCTGGTGGACCCTTGTTTCCCTCGCGCGCGCGGAGGCGCCGCCAAGGAAGCGGCGCGCGGAGGCGCCGCCAGGGGCCGACCCGGGAAGACCTTCGGGAGCCTGCCGAAGGGCTGTGCCCTTGCTCCGTTTTCTGCTCTTCTGGCATCGCCCACGAGGATCCGCCGCAAGAATATGCCATGCCCCGCGAGGATCCACGAGGAGCAGTGGACGTGGATGTCCTCGGTCCTCGCCCACGAGGATCCCGCGAGGATCCCACGAGGATCCACGAGGACCCCAGCAGGCGCCGTTTTCTGTTCTTCGGCCCTCGCCCGCGAGGATCCTACGAGGATCCACCGCCCACCGCTTCAGGTTCGCGCCCTTGGGTCCCGAAGAGCAGTGGGCACGGGTGTGCCCACCCGAAGGGGCGGGGGGAGATCCACATCCACTTTTTCCCGCAGGCCCCAGGACACGACCACTACCCAGGCCCCCGACGTCGTATTTTTGTCATCATGCCGACCCCCAGAGGTCTCGACCCATTCCCTGGGACCCGTTTCTCGTCCTGCGTCGTTGTTTGACGGTCCCGAGGCCCTGCAAGGGCCCCCTGAGGCCAAACATAGCCTAAAGCCTTCCGTCGTTTTTTCTCTTTACGCATGATTCAGGACACGACCACTACCCAGGCCCCCGACGTCGTATTTTTGTCATCATGCCGACCCCCAGAGGTCTCGACCCATTCCCTGGGACCCGTTTCTCGTCCTGCGTCGTTGTTTGACGGTCCCGAGGCCCTGCAAGGGCCCCCTGAGGCCAAACATAGCCTAAAGCCTTCCGTCGTTTTTTCTCTTTACGCATGATTCGAGAGGAGGAGGAGGAGGAGGAGGAGGAGGAGGAGGAGGAGGAGGAGAGAGAGGAGGAGGAGGAGGAGGAGGAGGATGAGGAGGGGAGGAGGAGGAGGCTGAGGAGGAGGGCAGGAGGAAGAGGAGGAGCAGGAGCAGGAGCAGGAGCGGAGCAGGAGCAGGAGCAGGAGCGGAGCAAGGACAGGAGCAGGAGGAGGAGGAGGAGGAGGAGGATGGAGGAGGAGGAGGTGGTGGGAGGAGGAGGAGGAGGAGGGCGGAGGAGAGGCGGAGGCGGAGGCGGAGGAGGCGGAGGCGGAGGCGGAGGCGAAGGCGGAGAGGGTGAGAGGGCGGAGGCGGAGGCGGAGGCGGAGGAGGAGGAGGAGGAGGAGGAGGAGGAGGCGGAGGAGGAGGAGGAGGAGGAGGGAGGAGGAGCAGGAGGAGGAGGAGGAGGAGGAGGAGGAGGAGGAGGAGGAAGAGGAGGAGGATAGGGCCTGTGGTAGTGGATTTATGGCCACATATCTGGCGCACGAGGAGGCGCACTCGGAGCCCGTCAGCCGCCTTCGATTCCATCCGCGGCGGGCTGGCGAGCTGCTGTCGGCCGGGGACGACGGCCTGCTCTGCGCGCTGGACTGCCGGAGATGCGAGCATTGGGGAACGAACCATGACATCAGCATAAAAACTCGGAGCTCGGATCGGCGCCTCCCTGACGCGAGGGGGTCCAGCGCGGATCCGAGAAATCCGCGCGGACCTCGGAGTTTGTATGTTTATGCCATTTTTCGTTCCCCTAGAGCAGGGCGGTAAGGCCGTGGAGGAGGACGCTGGCCTGCGGCTGGTGATGAACACCGAGGATCAGAGGGCCCAGACCCCCTCGAGTCCTGAGCCAACGAACGACGGAAGGTTGTTCGTGATTCTTGTCGTCTGGGGGGCCTTTCGTGGGCCTCGGGGCCGTCAACAAAAGCGAGTCTGGATGAAACACGGTCCCCGGGATTGGGTCGCGAGACCCCTGGGGGTCGACGTTCTGAACAAATCATGGTTTCGGGGAGTCTGGGGGGCAAAAGGCAGGGATACCTCCACCCCTCCCTCGTTCTCGCCTTCTTTGGGCCTTCTGGGAGGCCCTTGTCGCCACGGCCGGTTTCGCCTCGGAGTCTTGGTCAGAACGCGCCCAGGGAGAGGTCTGGGGAGCAGCTGTATCGGCACCTTTTGGTTTTCCCAGAGGAGGGCGTCGACCGCCTGGGTCTGGTGGCCGACGACCTCGCGGTGGCCTGCACCGTCTCCACCACCGGGCTGCTGCAGCTGTGGAGCCTGGGCGGCCCCCAGCCGGGCGCCCTGCTCGCCCGCCACGACTGCCTCCGCGGGGAGCCCGCGCTGCGCGTGGGGGAGTCCGACGGGTACGTCCTGGGCACCCTCTACGACGAGGGCTCCGGGGTGGCCCACGTGGCGGCGGGCGGTGTGGACGGCCGCCTCGGCCTCTTCCACCTCAACCTGGAGGCCGCCAGCTTCTCCGGGCTCGTGCCGCACGGCGCGGGCGGCGGGGGCCATTCTGGCGTGGTGAGGTCCCTGGCGCAGCTGGGCGCGAGCAGGCGCTTCGCCACGGGCGGCGAGGACCCGCTACGCGCAAAGGGGGGAAGGGGGGAGGGGGGAATGCTTCGTAGAAGCACCCCAGCCTCTTAGGAGGCGGGGCCTTGTCTGCTGCAGATGTAGGGCCGGCGCCTTCTCAGAAGCAGCCTCCTTCCAAGAAGCCTTCCCCCCCCGCTCTACCCCCTGCCCAGACCCCCGACGCCATGATTTTGTTTATAGCGTCGACCCCCAGGGGCCTCGACCCATACCCCAGAACCCGTTTCTCATCCCGAGTTCCTTTTTGGCGGCCCCGAGGTCCGGCAAGGGCCCCCAGAGGCCGAACATAGCCAAAAGGATCGCAAAACCACCCTTGCGCAATCTCTTCATGACCCGACGGGGGTCTGGCGCGTGCGCTCCGTCAAGAGGACGGGCTCGTCTGCCTCTGGCGCCCCGCTGGGCGGAGGCCCGCGAGCGCCGCGCCCGCCGCGGCGGCTGGGAAGCGGCGGCGCCCGTGACCGCCGCGCCGCGGCGCGGTGCGGCGCGCTGCGCGGCGGCGGGCCTCGGCCGGAAAGCGGGCGCCCGCCGCGAGCCCGCACGCGGGGGGGGGGGCCTGGAGGGTGTCTCCGAAGGGCTTAGGCGACCCACCACTCCCTCCTCCTCTTTCCTCCTTCCTCCTCCTCCTCTCCCTCCTCCTCCTCGCCTCCTCCCGCCTCCTCCCTCCTCCCCCTCCTCCTCCTCCTCCTCCTTTCTCCTCCTCCTCCTCCCTCCGTTCACCTCCCTCCCTCCTCAGTCCCTCCCTCCCTCCCTCCCCTCCCTCCCTCCCTCCCTCCTCCTCCTCCTCTACTTCCTCCTCCTCCTCCCTCTCCTCCTCCTCCTCCTCCTCCTCCTCCTCCTCCTCCTCCTCCTCCTCCCCCTCCTCCATCTAGGGGAACGAGCAATGACATTGACACAAATTCGCTGAGCACCCCGCTCACCCGTAGCTGGGTTGCGTCTGCAACCACAGCGTTGGGTGTGCGCCGAAGCCTGCGCCGCGCCGAGAGGGCGCGGGCGCCACGAGGCCTCGGTGCTGGTCGCAGCACGACCCAGCAACGGGCGAGAAACGGGGCGGGCACGGGTGGGTCAAATCCCGAGCGCGGGGCGCGCGCCCCAGGCACACACAAACCTGTGGTACCTGCGCGCGGCCGCGGCGGGCAGCGGCCGCGCGCGGGGGTGCGCGGGCCTGCCCACATCGCCTGCGGCGCGCCGCGGCGCGCGCGAGCCAAGCGGCGGCGCGGCGACTGCTCGCGCCTGCGTCCGCAGCGTGCGCCTGGGGCCAGCGAGTGTGTGCGATGGAACCAGGGGCCGAACTCGTTCCATACACATAGACACTCGGAGGTCCGCGCGGATTTCTCGGATCGGCGCCGGGCCCCCCCTGGCGGCGCCTGCCGGGTCCAGCGCGGATCCAAGAGATCCGCGCGGGCCTCCGAGTTTTTCAATTTGTGTAATTTTCCGTTCCCCTGCCATTGCCCTTGGTAGCAAATCATGGGGGCTTTCCGGAGGGGCTCGATGTATACTGTATATACCACGTCTTCTGGTCGGCCAGGGTGGCAAGGAATTCGGCGAAGGCAGTCGGTGTGTAGACGTTCCAGCCTCCCACAGGTCGGGGCAGCCGGGGCGTCCATACACCGAGCCCCCTGGCCGACCAGCAGGCGTGGTGTGTGTGTGTGTGCGTGTGAATATATATATATATATATATATATATATATATGTATATATATAATACAGATAGTTCGATTTTATATACACATATACATATACATATAATAGAAATATTGATAGATATATAGATAGATAGATCGATCGGTAGATAGATAGATAGATAGATAGAGATATAGAAATGTATAGACCCTCTTCCAGTATTGTGTGCCATCGTAGTTTTGTCTTCAGGGTGCGTTCGCGTCGATCAGCGTCTGGTCGTCGATGAGGTAGTGCTGTTTCCGGGCCGATTCGGCGTCGAGGAGCGTCGGTAAGCGTCGATTTGGCGTCGATCCGCGTCAACTTGGCGTCGATGAGCGTCGATTCGCAAGAGCCAGCAAGATGGTATGGGAGGCTCCCACGAGTTGCCGCAGAACATTGCCAGGCCTTTCTGGGGTTCCGCGGCGTCGCGGGCACACTAAGTCTGTCTCGGGATGTACGTGATCTGATTTTCTCGATAATCTGGGAAACAATACGCAACCTTTTCCTGTGACTCAGGGGCCCCTGAACATCAAACGGCAGCGGTCCAGACATAATCGAACACTGTGCTAATAATCAATGCAAACGAACACGGCATACACACATGAAAACTCAATGAAACGTGGGTGATATTGACACGGGCGGAAAAAATGAGTTAGCACAGATACATTACAAACCACGCTGCCTGAACTCAGGGTTCCCCAGACGATTACCAGGAGACTCAAACGACAAACCTAAACAAAAGCTTAAAGCTCCAAGCTTTCGGGAACGGGACCGAAACAAAACACAGACAGACATCACCGCAGGTCCCCTGCACAAACCAGTAAAACTCGAATGTGAAACATACCAGCGGTCGCGTCAGCGACATACATCTCCTTAGTTATTTCAGCACGCCGGGCGATCGGTCGCTCTCGCCAGGCAAGCAAGTCCGCGCCTCGTGGGCGCTCACGTAGTTGTGCAGATCGATGCACATCAATCATCTCATGCGGCACCGCCGCCACGCAGCCGTAGGCTGGGTATCCTTCGTCGTTTTCTATCCCATGAAAGCTCCGTGCGCGTACTCGGGCAGCGGCTGGAACCTTGGCGTCTGCGTGTCCTGGTTGTAGCGGCACTGCGCCTGACACATCATGTGGCGCACCTTCTTCTGGCGTGGCTGCTTGGTGTTCACACCGGTCGTCATCTTCTCGGTTCCCTCGACGTAGTGCTTCTCCGTCGGCTCGGTCTCAGGCTCACGCAGCTTGATGCTCTTCTGCTCAGCGCTCGTCGTAGTCCAGCGCGTCCAACAGGTGCCGACCCAGAACCCACAGCCAAAAGCCATGAGCATCGCCGTCAGAAATCCGAACATAGCCAACCTCGCCAGCAGGTTGTCCCAGCCGTCGTCGGTCGGTGGGTGGAACAGCTCGACGCCGCTGGGCGTATGCTGTACCACCTCAGCTCCAGAGCCAGTCGCTCCCGAAGCTGCCAACGTAGCTGCCAAGCGAGCTCCACTCGCGCCAAAATGGCGCGTCCTGGCCTTAGCCTTCGCCTTCGCCACGGGTTCCTTCTCGAAGGTGTCGAGCAACTCTTCCCCTGCCTGGTCCAGCTCCTTCTCGCGTTGCTCCATCGCACGCTTAGTAAGCTTCTTGCCGGCCACGAAGTCGGGGTCGTAGCGCAAGGCATGAACTCCACGGCGTAGCACATCCGCCATCATCTGGCGTGCCGAAAGCTTGGTGAGTCCGTCTGCCATCTGCTGCTGGGTGTTCACCCACTTCCACCTAGCGTTGACCTCTGCCAGCTGCTCATTCACGATCTTCACCTCAATGGCTGTTCTCTTCTCTGCGATGCCCAATCCTGCCGTCGCTGACCGCGAGGCGTCGTAGAGGCACTTCGCGTCTGTGATGAACGGCGACTCCCCGAGGTATGTCATGGCGGTGTCATGTCCGAGGTCAGGCCTCAGCGAGTCGGCTCCCAGCGCCGCGGCTTGCGCCTTGGCGGACAGAGAGCTCCTGCACAATCGCGCCAGCTTCTTCGAGGCCCACTCCATGGCCACGAACGGTGTTGGGGTGCCGGCGTTGAGCTCGTCCTCGGGTCCGACGAAGATCTGATAGCCTCCTTGGGAACTTCCGTCAGGTCGGCTGGCCCAGCTCGCGTCTGAGTAGCCTCCAACACGCAACTCACTCCACGGCCTGTCGAAGCCGAAGTACAGTCCCACATCCGCGTTGGCCTTCAGGAGCCGTAAATCTTTGTTCGCATCCAGCAAGTCTTGCACGGTCGCGTGGCCAGTCGCTGCGGCTCTGAACGATACGGTCGCCGCCGCGATGATGACCCCCTGGGCTGCCGGCCACTGTAGCTGGCCGTTCAGGGTCTTGAAATTCGTGAGCTCCTTCGGCGACAGCGCGCTGGTGGGATCTGCCCGCCGGTGCTTCTCCACGGTGATGGGCATCACCGCGTGCAGGTACTTCTCGAACTTGATGGTGATCGCGTGGGTGCTCAGGGACTGCTCCAACTCGCCGCCGGTGAGGACTAGACTCGGTCCGGTCTCCCACTTGCCGAACTTGAACTTCTCGCTGAGCATGCCCAGCCGCGCCTGGAAGCACTCGGTGTCGTCCAGCTTGGCGTATAGGTCATCCTCGCAACTCGCGTTCTCGCCGCAGCCGATGAAGTCGTCCACGTGCTTGCCGATCAGCCCGTCCACCACGAACGTCTGGCCGTCGAAACTGCACGCGTCGAACGGGTCGTCCGAGGGTCGCGCGGCCCGCAAGGGCAGCAGCAAGCAATCCTCGAGCCAGTGATTCCTGAACCCGATCTCCCTCGTGACTTCGTCGGAGCGGTAATGCCAGAGTTTGGGCGACCGCGGGTCCCCAAAACAAGGCTTGATCATCTTCAGCAACTGTCCTGGCTGCAGGCCGATCTGGTGTACAAGCACGTCCCTCATCTCCTTCGTCGGGCTCGCGTACAGCTTGATGCCGCGAACACTGACGTCCTCGGCCTGTAGGAATGCGGACTTCACATCCGCAGCGAACAGTCTCCACTTCCTCAAGGATGCCCACAGCATGACCGTGTGTCGGCCCAGCCTGCTCAAAGTGGGCGCCCCCTTGTCAAGCTGGCTCTCGGCCACGTCGCGGTGCTTGAAACCTTGGTAGAGCACTCGAGCGTTGGCCACTCGCTGCCCGTCCTTCACCTTCCACTTCAGCAGGAAGCGTTGAGGGCAGCACGCCGCTGGGTCCACCTCCGCCTCGTCGATGGGTTCCCAGCCGTCGTTCTTGTTGAACACCTCGAGGGCCTCCAGCTTGGCTGCGTAGAACTGCTCCCGCTCCTCGGGTGTAAGCCTGCCCTCCACGATGGTGGGGACTTTCCTCTTGAAAGCCAGCGTGTAGACTGTCTCGGTGGATTCCTCCAACAACATCATCTCGTCGTCCACCTCCTCGATGAGACACGACTCCTCCTGCTGCGGTGCGAGCCTGGCCCACGACATGCGGGCGCGTTTTGCCAAGGGGATGCCGTCCAGCCTCTCGGCCTCCTCGATGATCTCTTGGCCATCGCCTCGATGTGGACTCTGCTCGGCCCCCTCGCAGCGTTGCCACGCTCTCGCGCAGCGCTGGCCCCCGCAGCTGCGGGTTCTGGAGCCGCCTCCTCGTCGGCCTCAGCTGGCTGGTGGGCCTCGGGAGCTGCCGCGGCAGCCGCTCCACTCGGCTCCTCTCGTTCTTGCCCAACAGGATCTCCATCGCGGTGTCCCTGGGCGCCGGGCTGCTGCGCGCCCATGTCGTCCAGGGCGTCGTCGCGCCGGGGCCGCTGGCCCCCCTCGGCGAGGTCACTGAAGCTGCAGGTGCCCTTGGTCCTCCTGAGCGCCCTCCTCAGCTTCTCGACGTTGCTGAGTGGGCTGTCGGGATCCTCGCGTCGTCCTTCTCGCTCTCGGGTCTCACTGGACAGCTCGGGGCGGAGCTGCTCCACCGTGCAGCGGTAGATCGTGCGCCCGTGCGTGACCCACACCACGGACGTGTGCATCACGTCGTCCTCGTTGACCTTCGACTCCACCACCACCGCCAGCGCCGGGCCATGCCAGTGGCACTTCTCCAGGCCCGTCGACATCTCGGGTCGCCAGAAGTAGACCCACTCGCCGATCTGGCACTCGCGGCGTGTCGGCCTGCTGCGCGCCAACAGCGCAGCTCGCACGGCACGAGAGCAGTTGGCCTCGATGAAAGCCGCCCCCGCCGCAGCGCGCCTGACCATCATCTCGTGCACCTCGCTCTTGGGATCGACCAGCGCGGCCTGCTCCGCCAGGCCGAAGTCCTCGTCGCACAACGCGCCAGGCACCTTGGGCTGTGTGCCCAGCACCAGCCTCGCGGGCGAATATCCGTGCACGTTGCGTAAGATGTTCCGCTGGCTGGCGGTCATCCTGAGCGCGGTCTTGAGCGAGTCGTCAGGAAATTGCAGGTGGTACTTGCTGAGCTGCTCCCCCCTGACCGAATGGTTGCGCTCCATGAGTCCGAGTTTGTGGTGCGCGCCCTTCGGGATCAGGTCGAGTGTGATGTTGTGCTTGCTCGTCCACTGGTGCATCTTCCTTGACGCGTGCGGGCCTGCCATGTCCATCCTCATGGTGTCGGGCTTGCCAGCCCAGCTGATCCACAATTTCTGAAACTGCTTCACCTCCTTCTTGAAAGTCTCCTTCGCGATCGGGTAATCCACCTCGTAGCGCGTGAACTCATCCATCATGGGCAAGATCTTTCGCTCCTTGTTCTTCCAGGTGACGTAGTAGACGTCGGTGTTCACGACCTCGTGGAACCGTTTAGCCTTCGCCAGTACAGCTACGCGCACTGCTCGAGGTCGTTGCCTGCTCAGGCAGACTTCACACTGGAAGAGCTTGGCACACAGAAGCCACTCGGCCGGGGCCTTCGCGTGCTTCATGGCGGTCGCCAGCGCCGCGTTGGAAGGGTGGCCCAGGCTGATGTGAACGCGCTTGACCGCCCTGATCGTCGACACGCCGAAACGCTTCATCAGCTCCTGCATCACGTCGGTGTACTCGATGGCGTCGATGTCCTTGGAGACCTCCTCGGCGGTGTTGATATCCTCAATGTCGTCGGCCATGCCCTGATTGGCGAGCAAGTAGGCCATCCTTCGCGCCATCGGTCTCGGGTAGTTCTGAGCCTGCTGGGCAAGCTTGCCGCGTAAGACCACGTGCTCCTCGGTACAGCTGCATTTCGTGTTCATGTGGTGAACAAACTCCTTATTCGTGGACTGGGGTCGCGTAGGCTTCTGGTACGGCATGAGCTTACCCTTGACCTCGAACTTCGCGCCCAGCCTGCACTGGTCGAGCCGGCAGTGGCATCCAGGTAGCTTCTGCCAGGTCTTGGTCTGCCAGTGTAGCCCTTGCCACGGGCCTTCTGCATGCGCATGACGTCCACCGTTCTGCTGCTTCACAAATGAATCCCGAACCATATTGAGGAACGTCTGTTCCTCTCTCTGTCTGGTGAGGTTGATCTCCTCCGCGTGTTCCTCCGAGAGCTCCCCGTTGACATGTTGCCAAGAACGCCAGATCCTTCATGGGGGTGCGAAGAAGATGCCATCGGGCTTCTCCCAATCGATCTTACCCAAGAAGCAGCGAATCACGCTGGGCTTGGAAAAGTCCCAGCCGTCGGCCAGCCTGAACTAGATCGCCTTGACCTGCGGGAACTCCAGCAGCTCCTCCGACAAAGCCCCTTGGTCCACGAAGACCTCCCAGACCACGCGTTCGCGGGGTCCTCTGAGCGCATCCTTCATGTCGGTCTCCGCTTGCTCCAGGGCCAAGATCAGGTCTGAGTAGGTATCCGCGTCCATGTCTGAGAACCCCTCGGTCGTCAGCGCCTCGTCGTCGCTACCGATGTCGTAGAACTCCGGGACGGTCTCGAGGTAGTAGGCATCGGCGTCTGGCACCGACGAGTCGCTGCCATCGTCGGTCTCTCCCTTCACCGAGCGCCCCATCCGAGTCCTTGTCCGTCGAGTCGTCGCTGCTCTCCTCGCCGTCCGCGGGAGCGCCCTCGTCCATGGCGTCGTCTGCTTCCTTCCCGACGCTGCCCAACAGATCAATGGTGAAGTGGCCTTTCTCATCACGTTCGGACTCCATCCAACCTTTGTCGGGGAGATCCATCAGCATGAACGTGCCTGCTCGGTAGTCCTGAACGAGACCCCACTCCCCCATGAAGGGCCTGGCGATGAGCAGCGGCGCCCACCCCTCGACGAGGTGGATGGTGACTTGCTTCTTGATGCCGAACGGCCACACCGAACCGTCTCCAAACCTGAACCGTCGATCACTCTTCTCTCACTTGACCTCGTGCAGCAACTGCTTCACGCGCAGCAGCTCCTCCCACTGCGCCCAGACCTTGTCGCCCATGACGGGCCCCGTTGCGCCTCCGTCGCTGATGCCCTTGCCGACTGTCAGCAGGAACACCTCCTCGGTCGAATTCGCGTACTCCAACGTCTCGACGTCCTCGACCATGTTGCCTGACTCGGTCTCCGTCCTGGTGAACCCGCCGTGACGGAATCTCTTGAACCTCGGGCCGTGCTGCTGCGTCGAGCCCGTCCCGGTCGATCCCGCATTCGATGCAGCCGGCGAGCGGGAGAACGGGGCCTTCGGGAACTTGAACGCTGATGGATCTCGTCGTGGGTGACTTGATCCTTTGCCTTTGCCTTTGCCTTTGCCGCGTCCGCGCCCCTTGCCTTGGCCTGGGGCTCGGGCAGGTCGTGCTTCGCGGTAGTTGTTGTCGGGCGCCACGGCGACGATCGGGTAGAAGCCTCTGGACTTCGCGATCTCAGCCACGCGCTTCTTCGCATCCACGAAACTCCGGTAGGCCTCGTCGCACGCGAGCTGAGCGTCCTCGACATCTTGCGGCAGCTCCTCTGCGATCTCGGCCTTCTCGTCTATGTACGTTTTCATACTCGTACTCGTCTTCGTCTTCATATTCTCCCTCCTCCAGGTACGTGTCTTCGTAGCTCAGGCCTCGCTCCCACTCGTAGTCGCTTGTGTAGTGAGCGTCGTCCTTGGCATTCTGCCCGAGCAGCATCTTCTCCACTCGTTTGATGTCACGCTTGTCGGGCAGACCCTCGGCTCCGTACGTGTCGAGTAGAGCTTTCTTCACATTCTGTCAGCTGAGGCCGTCTACGCATTGACTCCGAACCTGGGCGGCGCCTGACGGCGGGATCGCCGCTCTCGTGAGGAGGTGCCAGCCCGCTAGCATATCTGGAATCTCCATGCCCACTTCCTTCGGCTTCCTGATGTCGCGCTGATGGCGTAGGCAGTGCAAAGTACAACTTCATGGACTCCTTCTCCTGGCGGGCGAACCTGCCGAAGAACTGATCCGTCCGGGCTGGCAGCTCAGTCTGGTTGTCGTACTTGTAGTACTCGTCCAGGACCTTGAACAGCGGCCTGAAGGCCTCGTCTGTCTCGGGCAGGTCCAGGTCGATCTCTTCCGTAGCTTCGGCCGTTTCTCCTTGCAGCGAGTCCATGACCGGTAAAGCCCCCTCGCTGATGGCGGTCGTGCCGCGCTTGCGGCAGCACCTCTCGAAGACCTCTAGCTTTCGTCTGAAGACTCGGTAGCCGTCGGTCTTCAGCAGCTCGTAGCTAGGCGCCGTCTTGGACAGGCCAGCATCGAGTCCTCTTCCCCCGTCCCAGGTCGAACTCTCCTGGCGCCACCAGCCTCCGCCTGTCCAGCCAGCCCACTCCTCGGCGTAGGCTGCCTCGTCGCCCTCGCTGCCAGGGACCCGGGTGGTCGCGGCAGCAGGGCCCGCGCCGCTGGCGGCCGAAGCGGCAGCGGCGGCAGGAGGCGGGGTACCTGACGGGTTCGCGGGCGGCGGTCCTGGCGGCTTCGCTGGTCCGCGGGGCGGCGCCTCGCCGGCGGGCATGGCGGCGTCGACGGGGATGCCGGAGATGGGTGTGGATCTCCGGCTCCGCTACCAATCTCAACCGATGGCAGCACACTAAGTCTGTCTCGGGATGTACGTGATCTGATTATCTCGATAATCTGGGAAAGAATACGCAACCTTTTCCTGTGACTCAGGGGCCCCTGAACATCAAACGGCAGCGGTCCAGACATAATCGAACACTGTGCTAATAATCAATGCAAACGAACACGGCATACACACATGACAACTCAATGAAACGTGGGTGATATTGACACCCATGACCCTCACAGGTCGACCCGGCTCGAAACATGACGCAGGAAGATGAGTCTGGATGTTGCAAGTTTTTCGTAACGTCGGATCTCAGGGTCTGGCCTCCAGAGGAGATCGCAGCGGGCGTTTTACTTTTTCCTCCCAAGTCTTCGTTTTTGGGCCGTGGGGCTGTCCCAAGAAGCAGCTTGAACCATCTTGAACCATCTTGAGGAACGTCTTTTCCTCTCTCTGTCGGGTGAGGTTGATCTCCTTCGCGTGTTCCTCCGACAACTTCTCATTGACATGTTGCCACGAACACCATATACTGCATGGGGGTGCGAAGAAGATGTCATCGGGCTTCTCCTCATCGATCTTACTCAAGAAGCTGCGGATCACGTTGGGCTTGGAAAAGTCCCAGCCGTCCGCCAACCTGAACTGGATCACCTTGACCTGCGGGAACTCCAGCAGCTCCTCCGACAGCGCCCCTTGGTCCACGAAGACCTCCCAGACCACGCGCTCGCGGGGTCCTCTAAGCGTGTCCTTCATACCGGTCTCCGCTTGCTCTAGGGCCAAGATCAGGTCTGAGTAGGTGTCCGCGTCCATGTCTAAGAAACCCTCGGTCGTCAGCGCCTCGTCGTCGCTGCCGATGTCGTAGAACTCCGGGACGGTCTCGAGGTAGTAGGCGTCGGCGTCGGGCACCGACGAGTCGCTGCCGTCGTCGGTCTCCCCCTTCACCGAACTCCCCTCCGAGTCCTTGTCCGTCGAGTCGTCGCTGCTCTCCTCGCCGTCCGTGGGAGCGCCCTCATTCATGGCGTCGTCTGCTTCCTTCCCGGCGCTGCCCAACAAATCAATGATGAAGTGGCCCTTCTCATCTCGTTCAGACTTCATCCAGCCCTTGTCGGGAAGGTCCTTCATCATGAACGTGCCTGCTCGATAATCCTGAATGAGACCCCACTCCTCCATGCAGGGCCTGGCGATGAGCAGCGGCGTCCACCCCTCGACGAGGTGGATGGTGACTTGCTTCTTGATCCCGAACGGCCATACCGCCAACGTCACTGCTTTCTTTGCCTCGAGCGTCTTACCGTCTCCGAACCTGAACCGTCGATCACTCTTCTCATATTTGACCTCGTGCAGCAACTTCTTCACGCGAAGCAGCTCCTCCCACTGCGCCCAAACCTTGTCGCCCATGACGGGCCGTGTGGCGCCTCCGTCGCTGATGCCCTTGCCGACCGTAAGCAGGAACACCTCCTCGGTCGAGTTCGCGTACTCCAACGTTTCGACGTCCTCGACCATGTTACCTGACTCGGTCTCCGGCCTGCTGAACCCGCCGCGGCGGAACCTCTTGAATCTCGGGCCGCGCTGCTGGGTCGAGCCCGTCCCGGTCGATCCCGCACTGGATGCAGGCGGCGAGCGGGTGAAAGGGGCCTTCGGGAACTTGAACGCTGATGGATCTCGTCGTG